CGTAGCGCTGTACAATATATGCGTTATGAAATAACACTCACACAGACTTTAATACATGCAATGACTTATTTCCAGGCAGTAAATAACAGTTAGTATTGCTGCAGCATTGCTATGTGTCTCTGTAATCCACCTTAACAATAGGCACATTAGCTGCTCCCCTCGTTATGCCTTAAAATGGACAACACATGAAAAAATGAAAGTACAATATACAGTGCCGCTTTATGGAGTGTGTGTATTTTATTTTATTTTTAAAGTTTATTAAAATATTTATGCAGCAGTACCTGCCATTAGTTGGCATGACTTGGTTTCTGGATTTAAGAAGCTTCATAAATGTGCAGTAATGATGCTTTACAACAATTTGATTTATTCACAGCAATTGAAGTGCAAAGAAAGCATATACTGCATTTTAAATACGTAAAGTGATGAGGTGTCTTGCACTTGTTGAATACAAGTGTGGCAGGTGGTACTTCTCAAACTGGGTCTCTCCTCTCCGGCCGTAACCAGGTGTTGTACAGGAAAGGGTGCAGGTAAGCAGCGCATTCAGGGTGTCCTTAGATTCATATAGTGGAAAAGTCCGCTTTGGGTGAAATGCATTAGTGTTTTATGTCTTTGGTTTTATTGTTTAGATTTCAAATAAAACTGTTTTTTTTTACCCTATTTGGACCTTCCTGATTTTATCCCTGAAGATTTTATCTGGAAATCCACACTTTTACATCCTTTGAGGTGAATAAACCACCTACACTACACAGGATTGTATGTGAGTATACCTCCTTTTATTTGTTTTCATACAAGCAAAACAGAGAGCACTATATTCCGTTTTAATTTTCATTTTTATGCTAATGGTGAACATCCAATACACTGCATCTGGAGAAGATTACACGTAAATGCACTGACACTACAACTGGCCTGCTACCTCGAACTGGCGCCACAAGGAACCTTGCCCAGCGTTATACCCACAGGCGGGAATCATATTGCCCCGGCACACATCAGAAATTGTAAGTGGTATTATCTTATTTCATCTTTTTTTGTCAAAATACTACACCATATTCCGTTTCTGTCCTACTATTTTCTATATTGACTCACCACTATACGAATCTAAGGACATCCTGAAAGCGCTGCTTACCTGCACCCTTTCTTACTGTGTTGTAGAGATTTGTGTGATGCAGGAAGCAGCCAGTGGCAGTGTAAAGTGATGCCAAGGCAGACGTCCGAACAGCTAGTCGTAGCATGATTTGCAACGAAAAAAATACCAGCTTAGCTGCCATTAATCAACAACTCCCATTTTCCTGAGCCAACTGCGGGTTACTTGCCCACAGGGTTATTCACTAAAAGTGAAAAAAACGTGAATTTCAAATGTAAAGCTACATTAAATGAACTGCAAGCATAGGGGGCCTGGATGATTGTTTGTTTGTTTATTTTTGCCTTAAAGGGACACTATAGTCACCCAGACGACTTCATCTCAATTAAGTGGGCTGGTTGCAGTGGTCATGTCCTTTTAAACCTTTTTTTTTTTTTTAGAAACGGCAATGTTTACATTGCAGGGTTAAGTCCACCTCTAGTGGCTGTCAGTACTGACCAAGTAGAATGTGATGAGGAAGCCCCCATATTAAAGCATTGCTTCAGTGCTACGGGGAAGTTTGAACGTGCACGTGGGACTCGCTGTGTATGAGTACGAGTTCCGCAATGCTTCTCTATGATAAGCATTAGATCAGGCCATCCTGGAGGAGGTATGATGTCACGGTAGGCAAGTAGGTCAATAGCACCAAGTGAGCCTCGGAATTGAAAAAAGATAACTAAAGCTTTTCTTCTTTTGAAATGTAATGCACATGGGGGGCCTTAATACGAGTAGAGACAGGAACACTATAGCATTAGGAAGTCAGGTTTGTATTCCTAACGCCATAGTTTTTCCTTTAAATTTGCAAATTCACTTTAAATTTCCAGCAAGCCCCACCTTAGTGAATAATGATGTATTTCTTGGAGTCTTTAGGGACTGTTTTACCCTAGCTGTAATTATTGGGTAACCGTGGTGGCCGATGTGTCATCCATTGTGGGCAACAGTAGCAATCACAATGGTTTATTCACTAAACTGAGAGAGCCGTAGAATTTGGACCAGAACTTTTAAATTGTGCTCTTTTGACCTACATTTTTCTTTTTCAATTCCTCTGTAAATTCTGCATAATTTGCCATGGTTGATGTGGCCATCCTTTCATTAATTTAAATTATTTCTGAAGCCAGATTTTATTGCTGTAGTGTTTCTCGTTTTATTCCTCGCCTCTTCACCAAGTGAATCACATATTGGCCCTTAAATGAACAAAAAGTGTAAATACCTTGTACACTTACAAACGTTACCATAGCCCTTGAGTTTTACCATAAATCCATTTAAATAACTAAAATAATAATAATATCAACCAGATAAGTTACATTAAGCTTTCTCCTAGTTCTGATGGTATTACTACTCTTAGGACTTGTTTCAATTATTGGTGATACTGAACAGCTTCCAATTGCTTAACTGTTTCTCACTAATCAGTAATTAGCAAGTAGTGACTGTTTCCCCGCTGCAAAATCTCACCATCTCACCAAGTTACTGAAAATTACCAGTGTTTGTTGCTTTGAACGGCTTTCATAAAATATAATAGGACACGTTTACTGCTAGTTAGTGTCTGGTTTCCAGTGTACTGGCTGCCACTTTGTTCCCAAAATTAAAGTCTACTTAGTAGAAAGCCTTATTTTACCCCATATTTTAATTGTTTTGTGATTGTTCTAATTTTGTTTGTTTAAAATTATTTTAAAATAAGTTTCAAAAATGTGTTCAATAAAAAGAATTTGAAAAGGTTACATTTACACCTAACATGTTTCAGACTCCTATGTCTAAGGACCTTTAGATCCGAAAAGCTTTAAAGGGATACTATGAGTACCAGGAATACAAAGCTGTAAACCCTCTATGGATTTTCAGCGCCTACAGTGGTGTTATATTAATCTCTTTATTATTTTTGCTTAATTACGGGATTTGGAGTTCCTACGCCTAGCGACCTGTCTTCCACTCGGGTAAGTGAAAACTTTGTGTTCCCATTACCTTTATAGTTTTCATTTATGCTCAGCGATTATGCTAGTGGCATATTTGAGTTTTGCTGTTTCGGGTCCAAGCTTTTTCAAACAAAAACCATATGAACCAATTTCAGTAAAATTCCTATTTGACTCCAGAACGGCAGTCCTGTTCTCTTTGGATCAACAAGTATTGGCTTTTATATTCTTCAATGGACTCTAGGCACCCAGACAGCATCTTCTCAACTTATCGTTTCAACTCAGCAACTGAAAATATTGGTGTTTTGCAGGAACCGCAATATTTTCATGGCCGGTATAACCTGTTTCTTGTGGCTGTCTTCCTGACACTTGGTTATAACTCAAATAATTCTCCTAGAGGGCATTTGATTGGCGCATTTGTTTTGCCGCGCATGCACACTAGTCTTCCAATCCTTCTCTGCAGAGATTGGATTGGCTGAAATCCTCAATCTTGATGATATCAGCTTGGGGGGCAGAGTGGCTGTGGCGACACCAGCATACCGTGGGATGAAAGGTAAGTAAATCTTACCTTTTTTAATACCTTTAAGGGGGTTTATCTGCATAGGGAGGGGATCACAATAGTGTTAGGAATACATATTTGAATTCCTAACAGTACAGTCTTCCTTTCAGTATTCACATTAAAAAAAGATTGAAAAAAAAATATTCTCCATAATATGTATTTTGTTTCATGTTTTCATAATAAACAATAAGCACAGACGATTATTCCACTTTTAGAACTTTGTCGCTGAATACTTTTCTAGAAATATGGTCATTTGAAACGTCTAACTGTAGTTAGTGAAACACAGATTTTTTTAATGTACGTCAGATTATATTATTGTTCTGTTTAGAGTAGACTTTGAAACTGTTTTTTGTTTGTTTGTTTTTTCAGATGCTAAAATGTAAAAACAAACGAAAAAAATTTAATAAAAATAAAATGTATCTCCACTGATCTGGTTAAACTGTTTGGAATTATGGCTATAGATGAGATTTTGCACCAGATGTCAGCTTTTTTTTTTTTTCATTTTGCCAAACCATTCTCTACACTCCTAGTTATAAAATTGCTCTCTAGTGTCAATTTACAGTACAATAAAGCAAAAAGTCAACTGCAATGTGACTCTAAAAGCAGATGGTTTTAAACTGTAGGTTCCTCTTAAAGACACTTAACGCTTACATTCTTTTATGGATATTAAATGCATAAATTAAATCTTACAGCAGAACTTGTTTAAATTTTTTTTCTTTTGCATTTTTCTAAAAAACAAAACAAAAAAAACACCATATATCAGTTGACTGAATATAATATACAGTTGCCAAAATATTTAAATGGGAAAAAACAGAGTTCAAATTAATTTTCACATTTTTAAATTTAAACAATTGATTTGTAACACAAAAAAATGTGAGAAAATAAAATTGGTCAATTAAAATTTCTGATTCATATTTATTTGTATATCTTCTTATGATCAAGTACAAATAACATTATATATATATATATATACATTTTTACGTGATCTATTTACATATGGTCTAGACTGGACAAATTTTAATAGTTAGGTGTTTTGATTTTTTTTTTGTTTTTTTTTATTGTACTGTCTCATAATATAGATGAATATGCTGACTGTAAAGCTGGGGACTAAATAAGTGTATCTGGCTTCGACACAATAGACCAATCTTAAAGCCCTTTGTAGATATAAAGTTATGGGTTTATTTATCTCCTCTTTATTATACACAGGAGCAGCTGATCCCCGTCTCTGGAAGCCAAATTTGTCCCCAATTCAGCCTCTTTGGAAAGCAGAGAACCATGAAATCCCCCAAACATCGTTCTCTGTCCGAGGCAGAATGCCACTTCAGGCTGAGCCCACCATGGTCTGCTCCCCCTCCGAAACTTGGATACCCCTCACGCACGCTCAAGAATGTCCCACCCAGTCCTGCAGCAGGTGGAGAAGGCAGTAGACAACTCTTCCCAGTGCACGTGGCTGCTTATTTTGGGAAGAACCTCCTAAGGGAGCATCATTTTGTACTGTTTAAAAGAGTGACTCCCTAAATCCCTCCAAATCCTGGTTCTACAAAAGGTAAGGAGATTATCATTGTCATTCGCTAGTTTCTTGTTTCTTCCTTATCTCTGCATCATTCCATCCATTTATGTACAGTGTAACATAAACCTGAGGGGTATTTTATTTCAGGATAATTTAAAGGGGTTTACTTATCGAAGGAAAACTAGCTATTCTGGGAGCATAGTTCTACATTTGGAGACATCAGCTGACACTTTCATTTTTTTTTTTCTATAATAATTGCTTGAGATTTATGTCCTTTTGCCCCTGATTTCCTCCATTTTGGCATTAACAAATATGACCCATGATTCATATTAAATGTCAGAAAACACACATATTGCACTAGTGCTTTGTATTGTACTATTTTTCTTTCTTTTCCTCTTATAATGGAGATAAAAAAGAAAAAGTTTCCGTAACGTTAAAAAAAAAAAAAAAAACAGTTTCTGCTTTGTGCTCTCGGATACTTCATGTTTAAAAATAGAAAATAACTTTTTCTTTTTTTTTCTTATCCTTCTTTTTTAAACTAAGGATTTTTCTTTTTCCACTATAAATCTTTGCCCAACTACTAAATGCCTTGAATTAGTCCCTGGTAATTATTTTGGCGTTTTGGAATACCAAGTGCTTGGGATAATGCTTTGCATTCATCGACCGCAGGCTAATCTGCAAGAAAAAAGGCACAGACACACACACAATGCTATTTGCTGACAATTCAATAGAACTGTCACTCTGGAATTGAAACAGTCAAGATCATTTCAAATCAGGGTTGTATTGGGATTGCGAGAAAACCTACATTTACTTAGTAGGAGGAACAGTCTCTTTTTTCTTTTTTGCAGTGCGATTTCTGTTGTGTATTTTTGTCTAAAATAGTTGAGCGAAAAAGGTCTAGAATTAAGTAATCGGCACAGTTAGATTTTCTTTGCAAGTGCTTATTTCAGTAATGGCGAGAAAGCTTTTATTAACACCTTAAACTACGCCGCTTAAACTCTGGGTTAGGTATAATTAGACGCTGAAAAGCTGACACCTTCTGTTGAGTCGATGTGAAAGGCTTAATGGCCAGTATTTGTTTTCTCATCTGTTATCAAACAAATCTTATAAGTGGGGGTGAAGTCAATGGGAGGATAATTTGTCGCAATAGGAGGAGTCAAAGTGAGTGCTTCTGTTTATTTAGAAGTAGTTTGAGCCTCTGGGACCAGTTCTATGGGTCATATGGATAATCCGCAGGGATCTGCGATAATACAAGTTTATAAGCCATTATGGGAGGCACAAGAGCAACTGTATATATTAGCAATATGCGATAATAGGAGCGGTTATATGTAAAGCCATAGGGTGCGATAATTTATATTGACATAGGATTAGGTAACATTAAACATAAAATTAAAAAAAAGCATTTATCAGCAAGTATACGATAACAGCTAATAATACACAGATTTACTATCTACAGTTGTAGCAAAATAGAATGGCTGCTGACTGCTTCCTGTAAAGTTACATTTAAACGGAACGTTGTTCAAATCTGATAAAAATGTACTTAAAAAAAAGTTATAAATAATTAGCTACTTGTATAATTGTAAAAACTGTAAACTTTGTAAAATGATAGAAAATTGAATGCGGCAAGTAAGAGATAAAATGTCAGTGGGATTGTTTTTTTTTTTTTTTGTTTAATTCCTTTTATTTATTCTGCGTTCTGATAGGAGTTTTTTATTTAGATACAAAATTACAGTGAAATATCACCATTGTGCTCGAAAAAATAAATAAAATAAACGTTTGCCAGAAATTTCCTTTGACATCAATGTTTTAAGGCCGTGGTGGGATAATTTCAATGTAGGAAGATTTACCTGCTCACATATTTGTATTTTGGAAATCTGAGTGATTTAACAGTCTTTCTTTATGAATTCATTTTAGAAATGAATAATTGAGTAGATTATATTGTATTTTTTTGTATGTATTTTTATATTTTTCAGGCAAACTTTTAACAGTTTGCTTGTAAAATTATGTTATTCCATTAGTAATAGGATATTAGCGACCGAGGATTTACACTGGATTATATTCAAAGCACACGGTTTTCAAACTTATCTATATATTGACACCTGCATTGTACTCTACGGATGATACGACTTAAATGGTGGTTCTGTTTAAATAGCTGTTGGTGGTGGGGGACTTGTAAAACAGTCAGCAGAAGAAAATTCCATTGGTTTCCACAGAGATTGCTTAAATTTCTGTACATTGCCTCAGAATCATTATTTCACCATAAATCCTTATATACTTAAAATGCCACCTCTTTCAAACCTACAGCAATCTGTACGCTCGCTATCGTTACCCGATTGCTGGACTTAATGAAATAATTTGCTCAGTTGGTGCACCATGTAAGTTGACGAGAATTTAATTAATTGTAAGCTCTTGGGCTGTCTCGGACAGCTTTTAGGGTTGTATTTTTGGCTGACCGGCTGGGCTCTCCTTTCCTTTTCTATCGGTTTGTCTAATTATGCACTATAATATCTTCAACCCATACCTATTGTAAATCCACCGTACATCTCTGCAGTCAATCTGATAATATGCCCGTACAAATAACAAGATCCACACGGAGTTATTTTTAAAGTGTCCCTATGAAAAATATTTTAATGTAGTCACTTCTTGAAAGGAGAGATCCTACATTCTATGCCCCTTCATCCATCGTGTTTCATAACATAGAGATTTTCATGAAATCTCAGACTCTACGATGTGCGCGATAAGTAGCTACGTTTTTGTGGAGCTTTCTGTACATCTGTAAATTACAGCATATACGCCTTACTTTGTGAAAGCAGTGAGCCAGAAAACGTGTATACATTAAATTTATTTCTTACATTGTTTGGCTCCTGGTCCCTGCTACCTCTGCCATCATTCCCACAACGCCAAACAGGGTATTGCACAATTAGAACTAAATAAATCAAATATGCAGCTTGGCGATATTGGGTTTATATGTAGTTTAAATGCCACAGAAGAAGTACATATGCCTCTTGGTGATGTTGGATATCCAACTAGTGTATATACCAGCATAGCAATCAATATGCAATTTAGGGAGATTGAATTTACATGTAGTTTATATGCAGGGGTAGAACAGTAACAGTAAATGCAATTTAGCACTATAGTGTGTGTGTGTGTGTGTGTGTGTGTGTGTGTGTATATATATATATGTATGTATGTGTGTATATGTTTTAAAAAAAAAATGTATTCTTTCTTTTTGCGTTCACAGTAAAACAGTGGTATACCCCAAGGCTTGCGCAGAAGCCGAAGTTCATAAGTGCATCATACATAATATTGTACATCCTTGAAAAAAATCTTTGAGTAGTTGTGCCTGGTAGCATCAGTTGGAGTGCTGTACAATGACAGTCTGTCAGTTTTTAAGGTTAATATAAACCATAAAATAAAACAATTAAGAACAAAACTGAACTGTGAACCAATGGCTCTGCGATTCTAGAGGGGTCTCGTTACATTAACTGAGAGGAAAGGTTAGGTCCTAGTGCGGGTGGAGGTGCGTGTGTGTTTGGACAACTCTCATATATCCAGTGCTAATCATCGTATTGTTCCCATAGCTTGGATATATAGTAGTTTTAAAGCTGACGAAAGACTAAATATGCAACGTAGCAAGATTGAGTGAGTAAATATGAAGCTTACATGCTGGCGTAGAAATATTGAGTTTATATATTGTTTATTTGAAGAAATCTGTAATTTAGCAGTAGTAGTTTTAGAAGTAGTTTATAAAGCAGCGTAGCACTAATTATGCATCTCAGTGCGATTGGTTATATATGTCGTTTTAAACACGAGTGTAGGGCTAGATAAACAACTTAACAATATGGGATAAACACATAGTTTATATACAGACGTAGGACTACATATGCAATTTGGTGATAATGGGTATATATGTAGTTTTATATGCTGGCTGACCACTAAATATGCAACTTAGCGGTATTGAGTATATATGTAGTTTATATAGTTTGATGGCGTATAACTTTATATGCAGCTTAGCAATAATGCATATTTAAAATGTTTTATATAGCCCTGGTTTTAAGAGCGTTCTACAAATTATGCAAAAAGATCCTGGCTGATTATACAGAAAGAGGGATATATAATGAGTCACTGATTTTAGAAAAAAAACAAAAAACAGTATGGAACTCCAGTATAGAAGGGATTTACCTTTCTACATGGTACTATGTAAGAAAGCTAGTGAGCTTACAATCTAGAGGATGTATAGTTTATATGCTGGTGTAGAACTATAAAGACGCCATATGGCTATTGGGTATTGTAGATGATACTCTTGTAATACTCGTAATACTATTTGGTACATAAATGGTATATATGTTCCGTAGCTCAGCGATGACTGCATATTTTTATAGCATAAAATCATGAGTAACGTTTTATCCATGTGTTTGTTAGAAGTTTTGCTTGTGCATTGTATACACGGTCATATTTCTCCTTAGATTCTCCTCACCTTCTGCCTGAAAACTACCGTATATATGACTTGTTATTTATCTGGTGGCAAAATAAATTTTATATCCGATGTATAAATCCCTAACCCATTGAACAGTTTTAAACTCCCGAATTATCATGTACTGAATTTAAATATCTATCTGCGTTTCTGTATTTTCATATATAACAATTTACTTATTGTGAGATCGGTTTGTTGTATTCGTGCCGGTGAGATACTTTGAATCCGCACATCCTTGTGTGCGTGTTTTTTTTTTAATTAGTATATTTTTTAACATTTTTTAAATGTTTTTCACATGATAGAAATATTTTAGAAAGTGGCCAAAACGCAGAACTTTCCAGTGGTTTCTTTGAGAAATGTCCTACTTGTGTTGTTGCTAATCTATTTTCTGTTAGTCCTATTGTGTTGGTTCAGTAAAGGAAGCCGTATATTGAGTAAAAGAACAACACAACATGCCTACTCTTTAATTAAAACATGGGTCATCTTAACGTCATGGGAATTACTGCCCATAGAACACGTGTAAAGTAAAATAGGGAGTCAGCACACTTTGAAAAAGAAAATCATTACAAACTGTTCGCAATCTAACATATTACACGGAATTCTCTATAGGTGTTTGAAAGATGTTTCATGACATTTTTTTTTTTAATAATGGCGTCTTTATAAAATGCACGCTACGGCGGTGTTGGTTTAAGTTCAGTTTAAATAAAGTTTACATTAGTTTAAGAATAATCGGACTCTGGGATTTTTAGGGCTATGAGTACATTGGTCCTTGACATCCAAATGCAATTTGTAAGTTCATATTAAGATCATACCACCGTCGGATGTTTTTGTCTCCTTTCGTTCTCTTGCGTCTTCTGCCTCTGATTTTATTTACTTTCTATATTTACGTAACTGCAAATTCTGCAAATAAATGTCAAATAATCTACTAAACCACTTTGCTCAGGTTTTCTCTTTTGTGCGGTCTTTCAGAGACTGGAGGCTCATTTTATATTTTGTATCTGTAGCCATTCCGAATTTGTTAGCATCGTTTATAAAGCAACGGCCTATCGTGCGAGCATTGTACAGTGAGCGATCAAAGCTCCGATAAGGGGTTATAGAGAGTATCATATGTAATTCCACATACCGGTACAAACAGAAAAGAGAGCCCTGATCAAATGAATTTGGCTGCTGCGGAAAGCATCAATTAATCGCAGATAACAGGAGGAGGACGATTGTAAAGTGTTTTGGGAAAAAGAGACATTGTTTTCACCACTAAACAAATCATCTCCTTCCTTCTTCCGCCGTCACCCGACTCGAGGAGGGGTCATACGGGTTCACCCCAGGGCTGCTGGGAGCTTGGGGTGTCCACATGATGTGAATGTTACACCCCTTAGTCACAGAGCAAGAGAAAACAAGCATACATACCCTGTTTCAACAGAACCTGACATTCAAGCATTCTGCACTCAGCCATTCAGCGCCTATTGTCTCCCCAAGACAAAGTTGTCTGGTTGCCTTTGTCAGATCGATATTAAAATCATTAAAGGCCTTTTCAGTATAGAAATCAGCACAGAACAGAGGTCAAATCACTTGGTTTCCCATCTAATTCGGCCTGAATATTAAATGGCTAGAGAGAGAGATCTCCTAGAATTCGCTCACAATGGCTAAAAATGGATTAGCGGGGCTGGGGAGGCAGAATCGTTGCTTCGGATCCAAGCCGTAAACACCAAGCTTCTGTGTTCATCTGAAGGGCCAGTATCATGGTAATACGGGCTTTAGAAACCCAGCACTTGCTTTATTTACAAACCACTGTTCTAAGGTTGAGTGGCATTGCGGAAAGTAAAAAAAAAAAAAAAATACAGGGGAAAAAAAACCTTGCTTTCCACTCCAGTTAATACATAAATAAATGCATTTTCTTCTCTGTATTTAAAGATTGGATTTCTCAATTAAGAAGAAAAAATACTCAGATCTCTAATTAAAATATCTTCTTTGTTTCAAAAAGTGAAATTTCTAAAACCTTAAAAATCTTCTACCGAATATTTACTGAATATCAATAAAATGCTCAAAGCGCTATAGTTGGGTAAAAAAGGTATCAAATCTTAATTTTTTTTTTAACTGTACACAGAGCTCTTAAAGCATCACTGTCACAGTATGGGGCCGCTGGTGGGTAAAGGTGAGTTTGCTTCACTAATTCTGTCCCTTGCAGGCGTGGACATCTTGGTCCAGCATGGTCCTTTTGTATCTAAGGGAATCAACACAGTAAAGGAAGAGACTATATTTAAAAGAAGAAAAACTACCACAACAAGAGGACATAGTTTTAAATTAGAGGGACAAAGGTTTAAAAATAATATCAAGAAGTATTACTTTACTGAGAGGGTAGTGGATGCATGGAATAGCCTTCCAGCTGGAGTGGTAGAGGTTAACACAGTAAAGGAGTTTAAGCATGTGTGGGATAGGCATAAGGCTATCCTAACTATAAGATAAGGCCAGGGACTAATGAAAGTATTTAGAAAATTGGGCAGACTAGATGGGCCGAATGGTTCTTATCTGCCGTCACATTCTATGTTTCTATGTTTCTATATCCTCTTCGGCGCCAACGTTACTGCTGTATATATGTAGTTTTATATGCTGGCTGAAAACTAAATATGCAACGTAGCGGTATTGAGTATATATGTAGTTTATATAGTTTGGTGGCGTATAACGTTATATGCAGCTTAGCAATAATGGATATTTAAAATGTTTTATATAGCCATGGTTTTAAGAGCGTACTACAAATTATGCAAAAAGATCCTGGCTGATTATACAGAAAGAGGGATATATAATGAGTCACTGATTTATAAATAATAATAAAAAAAGCAGTATGGAACTCCAGTATAGAAGGGATTTACCTTTCTACAAGGTACTATGTAAGAAAGCCAGTGAGCTTACAATCTAGAGGATGTATAGTTTATATGCTGGTGTAGAACTATGAAGACGCCGTATGGCTATTGGGTATTGTAGATGAAACTCTTGGCCATCTTGGTCCAGCGTGGTCCTCTTCGGCGCCAACGTTACTGCTGAACTCTAGCGCATGCGCAAGAGTTCAGCATGAGGTCTATGGAGGATCCTGTGAGACCGCAGAATCCTCCATACACAAAGCCAATTCCCTGCGGCTGTCGGGATTGATTCTTAGCCTTGAGTCTAAAAAGGTCATGCCAGGGAGAAATATAGAAATCCAGCCCCTACTTTGTCTCTGTGTTGGAATTGTACTGAAAGTCCAACCTGGTCAAGAGACACAGTCATTAAGAATATTTCATAAAGATTCTATCTTTATGAAATACTGATTTTTTTTTTTGGAAGGGGGGGGTTGTGACCGTGCCCCATTAAACTATTCTGATCATTTCTTTCAATCAAAACTATTTATTTTTCTTGCTTTGTTTGTGTGCTATACAAATCCATAGATAGATTTTAATTTTTTTATTTTTTTATTATTATTTATTTTATTTTTTTATATATTTTTTTGTTTAATAGCTGCTTTTTGGTTTAGGGGAAGCAAACAGGAAGGTAATTATTTCTTGGTCCATTTGTTGGCTAAATAAATGAATAATGAGGCTTTTTGATAGTAAAAATAATCTACATGAGGGTCATTGATGATATATTTATCAGCCCTACCGGACCACGTAGATAATGTACCTACTAATCGGTTTATAAATACCTCGCTATGTTCCAAATGACAATGGTCACTTGGATAATCCACACGATACAGAATTTGTATGTTAAAATATAGGATCGCATAGCATTAAACTTGGAAAGCTGCCCCTATAAATGCTTCTTAAAATACAGTTTATAAGGAAGTCAATTTCTCAAATAGCCAGTAGAGTTCACTAGAGTCAGTCTATTCTAGTTTAAATCCCTACTTTTTTGCATCATACCATTAATTCGTTTCATATTCTTACACAGTTTGCTAGATTTTTTTTTTAATTTTTTTTATTTTTTAGAATTCTTTATTTTTGCAGTGCATAGGTTAGTTAACAGGCTTACATTGACATTTTTAAATGAAAAAAGACCATGAAGTTGAAAGCAAGATTGTCGGAAAACTTTTAAAAATATAACAGGAAAAATAATGATGAAAATTATATACCGTGCGTAGGGGTGATAGTGAAAGTTGTGTTAAAGCAATTGCATTTCCTAGGCACTGATATTGATTGCCACAAATAATGACAAGCATAGTCAAAGTAAATAACTAGATTATGAGAATCAAGCTAAATAAAATCATGAGATAATAACAAATATGATTACCACCGGGTGTCAGTCGCAGAATTGTGTGTCGAAGAAGAGATAACTATAGACAGAACTGCTCTAAAATAATACAGCAGAGTTTGGGTAAACCGAGGCATGGAAGGTGTGAGCGAGGAGACAGGTTAATTAGCCTATGCCTGACAGCTCATGTGTGCTGCCCCGACTGCAGAATAGCCCCAAGTCTCGCACATCTGAACCCCACCAGCCCCAGGCTGCCAAACTGTTTGATGCGCTTGAGCCACAAGTCTCTTCCTGAGCTGTGTCCAGGGCTTGGTCTCTGAGCCCTCCAAGATGTTGGTTCTGCTTACAGTGGGTGAGGATCCCAAGAGGATGTGGGAATTGTGCAGAGTGGTGTCCCAGTTTGGACCGTGGTCCAGGGGGGTGGCGGTTCACAGCAGACCCGAGCCACCTGCATCGAGGTTCAGGATCGTGGGCCCCTGGGTTCATCTGAATCCGGGTGTGTGGGCGGCGGTGGAGCAGATGGGCATCCGGCCCAGGAGAAGGGCGAGCGTTTGGGATCACTTGTGCTGCTCATTTGTGCTGCAAGAGGTGCTGGTAAGTGGGGGGTTGTGTGCAAAACTGGTCTCCGGTTCGGAGGTGTGGACACCTGCTGCGAGCACCTGTATATAATGCAGTGTATGCGGTTGCAGCAGCCTTGTACAAGATTCAACCCGGTGCCAGAAAGCTGTGCAGATCTCGTCGAAAGCAGCCAGGAACATGCCGTGGGGAGCCGCTGCAGCTGGGCAGACTGTCACGGTAGTGCTAGGAGTGCTTGATGGTTTTTTCCCCCCAGTGGGGGCCGTGATATCCCCCACCAGTCCAGAGGTGCGGAGACTGGGCAGCTGCTTCACACCTATAGTCCTAGGCTGTGAGATTGTCTGTTTCTCCCCTGTGTGGTGCAAGCCAGTTGAGTAGGCCTCAGTAGCTTTGTTAAGCCACAGGCTACAAAGTGTGACTACAGAATTGCACCAAAGGGCTCCCCAACAGTCAGTCAGGTTATGAGTCGCTTGGATAGTTCTGTGGGTTGCCACTTCGCTTTATGTATTACTCAGATTATGTGAAGGGCTCACATGAAACACAGCCGTTGGCCATGATGGTAAGGCCCTGCCCCGGATTCCTATTTCCAGCGCCGCGCGGGTCAGCCGGTGGGCTAGATTTCTTAAATAACGAATGGATCAAAATATCTCCACATATGCTTTTATCTCTGTATATTTCTGTCAATAAAACATAAGGCTTTATTCTCTAAGCAGTAAATTGTAAAAAGATTATTTATTTATATATATAGTGGTGTGTATTCTCACGTTTATTAATTAGCGGACCAGCTAGTAATCAATATTACAAAATAAACACATTTTAGTTCAGAAATCATTTTAAGACATACATTTACTGCACATTCTGTTGTCGCTTTCTGTAACCGCTGTCTCCTAATTAAAGTAACAGTATGCATTCTGACGATGGACCCTTTTAATGCAGATGTTTGAAATTAGCAGCCCAGAACTCTCATTCAATACTGATAATGACTGTGCCGTAGGTGTACCTGCACCAGTGCAGCAACGCTAAATAACGATGTCTTTGTTGAGTTTCTTACTGAAAAGCTGCACGTACAGACTTAAGCACCATGACTACTTCGTAATTTCTTAACTTAAAGGGACCATGTAATCACCAGAACAACTATTACTTATTAAAGTTATTCTGGTGAGTATAGTCAGTTCCTGCAAGCCTTTTAATGTAAACACTGTATTTTCAGAGAAAAGGCAGGGTTTACATTATAGCCTTGGAACACCGGTAGTGACCACTCCTCACAAGTCTCTTCAGACGGCTATTACAGGTGCTTGCTTGGTCAGTGCTGACGTTCATCATGTTTACGCTCTGCATGGAAGCACTGAACTTCCCATAGTTATGCATTGAGTCAATGCATCTCTATTAGGAGATGCTGATTGTCCAGGGCAGCGTTCGGCTCCGCCCACGGCATGCCTTCTTGCCTAAGATCATCAAAATTTATGATCTCAGCCAATGATGCTGATCAAGGGCAGAGCCAGTGCTGGCGACTTCCATGCTGGAAATAAGGTGAGTTGTTACTAGTTTTAAGGCGAGGCGCTAAATAGTTTAACACTATAGAGTCAGGAATACATTTGTGTGTTTCTGACCCCTATAATGTTCCTGTAAGTATTTATTTGGGGTGAAGAGCCTTGAGTCGCAGTAGGAGAAAAAGCTCTGTATTAATTTCATTTTTTTTACCTGACCCCTGTTTGGAATATTTAGACTGATCAAGATAGCATTTGAAAGATAGACTAGTTTAGAGATAAAATTGTAAGAGGGAATCCTCTGTTGTAGAAACTGTGAAGTCAGTACAGCATTAAAAAAAAAATACACATCCCAGCCTTGTTAGCAGAGATGGATTGTCATATATTTCCCCAGCACACAGTATAATGCTGCGTCTAAGAATTTTAGGTAAGGATGTGAACATGAACCTCTTAATGGGCACTGCTAACTGATAAATCTGAGTTTTAGCCAAATCCACGGGGTTGCCCTTGAGTCTTAGGTATCTTAAACTCCAGGTTTCGTGAATGAACACAACTGAAGACTTTTGAAGTTTCCTGACTGATACTGTAATTAAGAAATTCCGCTCTTCACCTCCCTAGCTATCCTCTAATTTGTCAAAGTCTCCAGTGATATGTCCTCCAGTTTTTAAAGATTGACAAGCCCTTTACCCCTGTTGTGAAATGCCAGTAACAGACCAAATGTTATCCATAACCCCTACAGAGCACAAATAGGCCAATACAAGCAATGTCTGTAATTAGTGACGGTTTCCAACTTACTGTGGAATAACCTTAACCTGTGCTTTTATTCCTTTACCTAATGTCTTGGATTCTGGTAAATGTGGCAATGGTAGGGGCTTTGATTAGAGGACAATATTTAAATATCTTTTTACTTGCTGCTGTAGTCTTTGATGTCCCATAACAAAAACCTCACAAGGGTGCTTTTCGTTATGATCATTAACCACAGGTCTTAAGACCAATGTGCCTGAATTGCAACCCATTGCTTCTGTAATAATGACCAATTTTACAAATGTAATTAATAAACACCCAGCTCAAAGCTCTATTTGCATAGGTTACACAAGGCGTCCTTTTCTATAAAGTAAATTTATATTTGTTTAACTTAATTATTTTGTACAACATAATTGTATCAGAGCAGTTGTTTGTTGTTTTTCAAACTTACCCACTGACTTTCTTCTTGAAACAAATTTGGAGATATTGGGTACCCCAACTTGGCAGAATTAGGAAAGCCATTAAAATAGATGTACCGACAATGTTACTGTATCAAGGGATCATGGATAAATTAAACTTGCATGAAATGCCAACTCTGTGCCTTTCCAGACATCAATTGTAATCTCTATCTGAAATTTTAAATATCTTAAACACGTATAAGTGCTAGCCACTTTTTTATGTAACACAGGACAGATTTTCTTTAAAAGCTATGTGAGAAAAATGTAGCTTCTTTTTAATTTTTTTTTTGCATTACAGTTTCCAAAGCATCTTTTCATTGGAAATGCAAATAAAATGAAATGTAAGTAAAATCCGGTGCTGTTTAATCCCGGTCAATCACTTTGTTAGTAACCTTTCTTTCAATCTCTCTCGGAGCACAGAACCGCAGCCAATTCTTTTCTGTAAACTTTATTACAAGAAGTGCTAATTCGGAAAAGAAAGTGTAAAATACAGCTTATAAACCCCCCAATGAGGCATTTGTTTCAGTAACAGGGCCACTGTAAATGGGAGGTGGGTCCAACTCCCTGCTCTGTGTAGAATCCAGACTCTCCTTGCTCCGGCCTGCTAATGGGCAGAACTGCTGCCTGCCTTCTCTCCTTGTTACCGATTCAGAGGAAAAGCCATTAATTAAAATTGCACTGCTGTGTGATGTCTATAGAGACAAAGGGGAGGCTGTGAAAATGACCCCATGCAGAGTAACCCTTCCTTTCTACCGTGTACCAGACACCTTGAACATTTTAATGATTGTTAAATACCTGATAACTTTTTATATTTATATATTTTTCATTGTGTGTTCTTTCTTTTAAATGGTAACACATATAAGAATCGAAGTAATGCGGTTGCAAAGTTTGCTTGTAAGCAGTAGCAGTCTATCGGAAGGCCTGTTGGCTGAGTACAATGGTCAAGTCTTGTGATGGACTTGCAACTTTCCTTAAGGAAGTTGGATCTCGGGTGCTGAGATTCAGTGCAAAGTTGTCTTGGTGGCTGAACAGACTTGTAGACAATGAATAATGTTAGATGTTATGGACCTAGAGCTGAAGGAACAAAATTGGAGGCAACTTCAAAAATTGTAGCCAGAGAGCCAGGGCCAACAACGCCAGTTCATACTCTGAAAAATGAAGCCAGTCAAGAGGGTCAATAACATGAGTAATCAAGAAATAAAAATTTAGATAAAATATTTGCCATACACCTGTTATTTTACAACATATCCACTTTTTCTTAGTTTCTTCTGAGGTTGGCAGAAACCTAATGGACTTATTGACCAATATCACCAGGACAATGATTGAACAGCATGTGGACGACCAAGCCTTAAAGAGGAAGAACTGAAGGAACTGGCCTGGAATGTAGACCAATAGAGCGGTAGCCAGAACTGTAGAAGAATACAAAGTCCTAAAGATTTAGTAATGCATTATTAATGCAATATATATATATATATATATATTTTTATAATAAAAAATTGGGTTTGATCAGAACAATGAGGAGTTTTTTCAAATGTTTGAAAATTATAAGTAACATTTCCAAATGTCTCCTACTACTGAGATTGACGGGTAGGGACGGGAGAATATAATATATGTAACACAGGACATATATTCCACAGAGCCCTAGTCCTAGCAGGGACTCTTCTCCACTGGATCCACCAAAGTACAATCGGGAACAAGAGAAACGCCAAATAAATATCCCACCTCCTCCCCAGCAACTGGACGACACACAGTTCTGGGAGTACAACTGAAGTTTATTGAGGCACACACGGCTTTTATGCCCAGTCCCATGCAAGGGGTTTTCAACACAACAATACAGGGGTTTCAATCCCAGGATCCTCTGTGCCTGAGAGATAATTGCATGAGAAAAATCATCTAATTTAATTATCTCTCAGGTACAGAATATCCAACAAAATATTCTGTACCCTCCACCGTACATAGAAACCCCACAAAAAGTACATTTCCCGATAGCCCCAATCTGAATGTGTAACATATCCAAGAATCACTCAGATCGGTCCAGTGAAACGGAAATGCTATCGAGGTAAAGTTTTGACACAAGGCACTAGCCCAAAACAGTTCCAGGGAAATAGGTGCCCTGTGCGAACACCATGCAAGGGAATTTCTTAATTTCAGGATACGAATGCTCCCGCTGTTCAGTAGTTCATATCTCCCAAACGTCTAGGTGGTGTGGAAATAGAACTGGCAGCACTCTAAGTTTTACCGGCGTTTGCACGAGGGCCTAGTCGGAAAGCGTTCCAGGCACTTGACGACCAACTACTGCAGCCCACGTTCGGGAGACAAAATGGCCGCCACTCTTTTGTCTGCCACGTGTTCGGTTATACTAAAGCATTCATTAACTACTTCCCTTGCGGTTTTGCACTCACCTCTAAACGTTCTAATCGGGTACAGGGGTGTTCCTCGTTCGGGAGACGAAAGAATTCTGTTCGTATGAAGTCTCTTGAACAAAGATAGGATGAAACAGGCTAAATAAAAGGGGAAAGTATATATGAAAGTATTTGTGAGGTCTCCATTCTGCTACATATATATATTTATATTTTTTCACTTGACCCATTTGAAATCAAAGCTACATACTGAATGTCTGCATTTTCAGCCAATCGTAACGCAGTTTGAAGTCCAGCCAAGTCTGATCATTGACCAAAAATGCACAGCTGAGAATATAAACCAAAAAAATGGTACTTGTGCACTATACCAAAGCCCCATGCACATTTACATAACTGAAAGTTTTTTAGTATCGTTCGAATGGCCATTAAAGTGTAAGATCACCTTCCGCATCAAGGCTACTCTAACAAGGCGTTTATGTTGATGCATTACAGCCTCTTTATTAGAAATATTTTAAATAATCCACAGTTTTAAGTATAATGCGTGTTAAACATGTAACATTTATCACTACCGTTTTGATGAGTCAAAATAGAGCTGTCAAAGTGAAGCTACTGGGAGCAAAACGTTTACTTACAGACAAAATTCGATATTGCAATTACATATAAATTGATTGATTTAAAGATGTTCAGTCAACTCTCTCAGCTGATTGGAATGTTCTTTTTAAAGCAGAATCGTGTGAGGTCTACTATGAAAGCAGGGAAAATTATAGATCAGGAAGCAACAAATTTGTTTCAATGTAACTAGTTCTTGTTACTGGTTTCTAGTAAAATTTCTCCTTTTTCATTGTTTCTACCAATACTAAATATAACATTAAATATTTCACTGTAGTCATTGGTTCTTACAATCAGTGTTCAGGGAATTGTAATCTTCCCAGAAATGTACATGTAGGTATATTGATATCATTCTTTCTTGACAGATCCATCTCTGTTAATGAAAGAGATACCAGTGCAGAGAGTATAAACATGTGCTATTTAAAGGGAATTTGAAATAATGAACTCATTGTGTAAATGTAGCCATCCAGGTGTCTGATTGTACTTCCTACTACCGTCTTAGCAACATTGCAACAGCAGCAGGGCTTATGCATCCCACACTCTCAGCCAATATCTGCTGTCCTGGTTGGATGAGGTTGACCTTGACAATGTAGAAGTGTTAATTTTGCAGTATCAATGTAGTCATGGTGGGGGACGGTCTCCAGGCACCGTGAAGATTCAAACTGTTTCTAGACGATTAGACATAAAAACATCGACTGTGTCACAAGACTCAAAGTTGCTGACCTGTAGTGGTTTAGAATTTTCATTTTAGAAATGAGAACAAACTGAGTATATTTTGAAACATGTCTGTTGGCCAAAAGCTACTTTATGGACTTATTTAGCGTCTGGTATCCCAACTATAACCATAAAATATATAAAGCTGGCATGTAACATTTATTATGCCTTGTCTTACTAATATCATAAATTTCTTACTCCAGCTCAGAGTACTGAGCATTGCCACTGCTGCTATATTTAATTTCTTGCAGGGATGCGTGGACAGGAGACTTCCTTGTACCACAAATCACTCTATGAGCATTAATTGTTTAGTCCCTCAGTTTCCCTACATATAGCCAGATTGTGATAAAGAATCACAATGGGAGAACTGCTTTAAGCCTACGTGAGTAAACTATAGGGATCTCAGACAAGCATTTTATGATAAGCATCCTTCTACTTAGCAAATGTGTAAGGGCCTGCCAGCATGGCATCATGGGAGTCACACTGATTTGCATTCTATGCCAGGCATTGTGCCTTGACAGTCTCACTATAAATAAAAAAAACCTGTAAAAATAAATAAATCCTAAAGGTAGTTTTCAGTTGGATACTGGTCTGTCAAATATCCATGAAGTGTCTGTTTTAAAAACTGGACAAGTTAAAAAATAAATTAAAAAAATAGTATTTTGATCATTTTATTTGCTTTAGAACACAATTTAGGATTAAAAAAAAACAAAAAAAAAAAACATAAAAATATATATAAACAAACATTGGATATGCTTATGCTGCAACTACCATGGTTCCATTATCCTACCTTGTAGATGAGTTTATCGTTGTTTAAGTGGAATAGTTTTCAGGGATGTGGAATGAAAGTGGATTTATACATGTGCATTATGAGCAATCATTTTTGGTTTCTATATTTCAACTTGCAATGATTGTACGTGTGTTGACTTCATTGCCATAGTGACAGTGGTCGATCACCATTCCATTAGTTTTCTGTAGTACCTTTGCTACACCCGACTCTCTCGTTAGTTACCGTCTTCTTGAGAGCTACAGTGATTTTAATACTATCGTGCAGGCGCTGGTAAAATATAAGATCTAGAATACAGTTACCCCGACAGTGCTGGATTTTGCCGTATCCAGTCTACATCATAGTTTGACTTTCTACTAGACTAGTTATCTCTCCTCATTGTTGAGTACTGCTTCATTCCAGTTGCCTTAAACTATGCGACTGATAAGTTTTACTTAATCAGCTTGCAACATTTTAGGGGAAAACAGGAAATTTGAAAAACTTGGCTGAATTGTGGATTTCTTTATAATCTAACTAATTTAGATGTCTTGGCCTACATTTTACAAATCAAGTTGTCCTTACAATATAACTTTCTGATTGGTTTATAGACCCCCAAATAAATCCTTCATACCTCTGCTGTGTTGTAGAATTTTGGCATATATCGGACAATGGGGGACGAGGGGGGATAATTTGGATACATAATTATGTCACACTTACTCACTCCTCTACCCCCCTCCCAAATCGGCTTCCAACTCATTAAAGATTTTTACAGGCAGTTAAACAGCAGCAATTTAACAAATTTATCCAGCGGTAAATGTATCTGTGAATGGGACATCCTGCTATGCGAGAGGGGATTTAGTATAGAGGAGGGAGGGATCAGAGCTTTCTTGCGGAGAGGCTGCAGTTGCCACAGGCACCCAACTGTTTCAGGGAAGCTGGGAGAAGATTAATCAGACACTAATTCGATTTGCAACAGACAGATTTTTTTATTTTTTTTTAAAACACTCACTGTTTAGGAATTCAACAAGGGCATACGGACAGAAAAGAGTGGGGTAAATTAACATAGACTCCCATTTGCAATCTTTTCTGGTGGAGCCTGACCCCGTTTTCTGTGTCTCTTTTTTTTTTTGTCAATAAAAGTGCTGGTTAGAGCTTGCTCCCATTGAATGACAAATTTATGAGACTGGATAAAAAGGAGGGTATCTCAGTCCCTTTAAATACGGCTGCCCGATTAATGAGGGCTATCAACGTCTTCCAGCTAAGAATGGGCTAAGTGCTGAGAAAACAAATTGAAAAAGATGTTTGGGTGGCGAGCGCCCCATATCTTTCATTTTATTTTGGCCCCAGGAGCTGTTTGCTCTGCCTGCATGTGTGCAGAACAATTTCAAAGTCTTCCTACATCTGCTGATAAGACAGGGATTTGTAAAGGTGTTTTGAAAGGTTTCAAATCAATCTTCCTGGGATGAGGGGGGAACGACACAATGCAATTGTCTAACGTGCCGGAGAACCCCCCCCTTTAATCCTGCAACACTTTCTGTTTATGGTTGAGTTAATCTGAGTTAACTCTTGAGTGCTTATAGGACCAAAGGGGGAAAAAAAATAGCACAATGAATGTACTTAGCTGGAATCCCACTCGGTGGTGAGAAAATCTTTTCAATGGCTGCTAATCAGGCTAATCAGGGGAATCTCTTCTTTACACACAAGCATTCTGATACAGCCCCTTATAGTGCAGATGAGACTAGATTAGCACATTGAGCAACTTGGTCTTGAGGGCCATATGGGACTTGTAAATATCCAGACATTATATGTGGTGCAGTAGCTGTGTGTTAAATATTAAAGTCAATACTAATACAGTATTAGAGGTAGGTTCATGTCATAGTTCTCTGTTCGAGGTAGATGCCTGTTATTTTTCACTCTAAAAGGCAAGAGTTTTCTGAATTTTTTTCTCTGCGATATGAGTGATGTCTGCATTTCTTTGTTAGAGGTAAGTGTCTGATGTTCCTCTTTTAGCAGTCAAAGGTAGGTGTGTATTAGAGTTCTCTATCAGAGGTAGTCTGTGATGTCCCTGTATTATGTTAGGGGCCGGTCATATTTCTTTCTGCGAGGTAGGTACCTGTGATAGTTTTCTGTTAGAGTTGTGTTTCTGTAATGAGATGAGAGGAAGGTGTCCATAAAGGTTGGTGCCTGTTATTCCTCTATTAGAGTTCACATGTAGGAGGTTGCCATTTTTCTTGTTAGAGGTAGGTGTCTGTGATATTTATCTGTTAAAGGTTGGTATCTATAATAACATTAGGACACACCGCTCACATCATTTTAATACACAGATATTAGTACATAATAATAACAACGAATCTCTAATACCTTAGAACGTGTACCACTCATCTCTAAGTACATAGCTTAGAACACGTACCACTCATCTCTTAATACATAGCCTAGAACACATACTACTCCACTTTTAATACATAGCTGAGAACACTTACCACTCGACTCTTAAAGAAACACTATAGTAACCCAGATCACATCATCTCAATCAAGAGGTCTGGGTGACTATAGTGTTCCTGTCCCCTTAACCTTAAGGATTAACTCCTCCTCTAGTGGCTGGCATAAGCTTTCCTATGGGGAATTTTGAATGTGCATGCAGCAATTGCTGCGCATGCACATTAGTTCCCCAAATGCTCTTCTATGATGAACTTGGGAATGGACCCTCACAGAGAAGGAGAAGTCGGCAGCACCGAAGGAGCCTCAGCGCTGGAATAAGGTAAGTAAAACAGATTAGTATTCCTAACGCTATAGTCTCCCTTTAATATATAGCTAAGAACCACTCACCTCTTAATATATAGCTTAAAACCGATACTTCCAGACACCTTTTTATACACCAGGGACATGCTTTTTTTTATGTAATAAATCGCCAATAATACATTTCTGCCATTGTTTGTTTTTGTTTTGTTTTTTGTTTTCTTTCACTAATGGCGGTTATCAGGGTAGGTGGATGGAAGACGGGAGATAAGGGTATGGATAAGAAGAGTTTTAGAATAAGAGGATATAGTTACATACAGCAGCAAAACATGCGTGGCATTTTATGTATTTGGATGTTCGTGTTTGTTAAATGTTAGGCACTATAATGTGGGCTGGTGTAGGTTTCCAGATTCCATGTGGGCAGAAATGTAAATGGAAAGCCAAAGGTTATCTTTGATTGAACAACTTCAAACTTAGTGTCACGAATTATAGTATTGAAAAACAGCGAGCATCTGTCAAGCTTTGTACAAAAGAAACAATTATACATTACTGGTTTTTTTGTATCTTCGCAAAATAAATGTATCAAAACCATATCCAACTACATTTTGATCAACAATACAAATTTACTCCTTTGACCCACAGAGAAATATTTGATGGACTTGATTCATAAAAGTTTAATGGACTGGCAGCATACATTAACTTTAGAGCCAGGACAGCACCTAAAGTTTTGGTGTAATTGCTGGAAACCAAAGCATGATGTTGGATTGTCTACTATACTGGTGGGATCCAATACTCTGTTTAAGAATATCATTGACATTTTATAATTATTCCTGGATGGAATGCATCCGCTTTGTTCTTTGTCTAGGCTCGGACTGCATTCCATTATGATAATATAAAGCTGTAATGGGTACTCATTCTCAACACTTATCTGGAAGACCATCGCATCCTATCCCATTCCAAACAACTGGTCCATTTAACAAGCATGTGTTTGCCCGAGCTACTGTTAGTACTTAACAATGATATAAAATTATATGCGAGTATTATGACAAACTAGGTATGTATGTTCACACTGTCTGCATAGTTTTGTCTCAGACAGTAAGGCTAGAAATTATGATAAGAAAATCCTTAACATCCTGATCAGTGTTAATTTGGGGTCCATTCTCTTGACCCTTCACCATATGGGCTTTTGTTAGTGGATCTCTCCAAGGGTTTGCGAGGTGGGTTTAGTACTCCATATCACATTTTATAAGCGTGTAAGCTCACTTAAGTAAGTAAGTATCCCTGCCTCACCAATAGCTTCTGTATATTACTTTATATCACTCCTTTAAGTATAATTATGACAAAGCTATGACTCCTACTGCTAGCAAAACCTACAAGTTACTTGCCACTGCAAGCCTGGAGGGTCCATGGTAGACTAACCAGGGGTCAGTTTTCACTCGATAGTGGAGAGTGAAAATATGAATCCCTGTTTATGACATTCCTAAATAGATACGCAATATTTTCTGTATGTTTCAGCAGAACTTTACATAATTACTATTGTGATCATTTTTAATTGCTATTTGATGGATACGTGATTTTGCATCACATTGCACACTTCCCATTGTGCATTACCCTAGCGTGGTTAGGAAATGTTCCAAGTAATCATTGATTGTAATGGATAACTACATTCCCAAGTGGGTCAAATCAGCAATAAGAGATGTGCATGCCGTTACGGAACTTGTATATGTGTGTCTGTCTATCTTAGAACAAACCATTACAACAAAACTATAACACTCGATTAAGTGAATCCAGGACATAAAAGTAGCAAATATTTCGCTATTTTATTTTTTCCTTTCCTCTCTCCTTTTTTTTTTTTTGTTGCTCTCTAATTTCATTGATTTAAAATAAAATTCTATATATGTATAAAGGTAACATTACATCTGTCTTATAAAAAAAAAATATAAAAACCATACACACACACACACTTTTTTATTTTTTTGCAAGACAGATGTATATGTGTGTGTATGCCAAGGCTCTTGATGCAAATCAGCTTATGTTTCGTATGCTTATCGGGCACAACGACCCCCCTCCCCCTTTTTTTTTGCATGATCTAAATTAATTCCCCTTTTATTCACTTGTGATATAATTTCAATACTTTACTTGTCTTACACGCTAACCTATATTTGTTTGCTTCTCGAAAAACTTTTTTTCTCAAATATTGATATTTCCTTTTTAGCAAACGAGTGGGCCCTAAAAAAAAAAAACCCAACAAAAAACGTACTACCAAACAATTACATAGAGCACCTTATCACATCAACACCGATAGATTACATCACCTCTCGAACAGCCCTGCAAATTCTACACCAGCATCATTATGTATGTGCAAGTCATTTCAACGAAACATCGAATTCCATTATTAGTCTAAGGCAGTGCAGGACAGAGTGATATCCGTCTTTCCTCAATTCTCTCTCATTCAGACACTGAGTTATCATTACATTTGCATAATCTGCTCCCACAACAGGATTGGCATTAATTAGTAGCAATATATTGTGCCTAGATTTTCCCTTTTTAAATTGTTTAACCCTCGCTAACCCCCCTCCCCTTCAGAAAGATTTTCGGAGCTTAAAGGAAATCGCTTGAAGGCCCTTATAAGAGAAAGCCAGTTAGCAAATTCCTGTAGGAAATAAACACTTATATTTTTTTCTCTCAACAAGTTTCCATGTGTCAGGATTAATACAGATGTCTTTAAAACGTAAAAATGACATAGATTTATCTGTTTGTGAGATGTGCATGTACTGATACGGGGACAAAAATGAGAAGGCGGGGTAATGTTTTTGAGGTGCCTTAAGAATTCTACGGTGATGAATTGTCTGAGTTAAATAACAATCTTTGAAGTGACTTACGACAAGTATAATAAGAGGGAGTTAAGTTAGAGCCACAAAACAAAAAGCCCCCACCCCCCCTTTCAGAATATATTTATGATAAAATCATTCCCTGTCTATTAAATGTAATATTTTTTTTTTCACATAAATCTTTTTTTTTTTTTTTAAATCTTATTATCAAATTCTAGAGGTATAGATGCCTATAAAAATCTTGGAATAATTTATGCAAGATCAATTCTCAACGTTAACACGGAGCATGTACATTTTTATACCAATCCTGTAAGTGTTTAATTAGAAGCCATTTTGCTCGCATAATGAAATATTTGTTATATAATCAGTGAATTTACATATACTGTACTATGCAGGATGATAATATTGGACTTTTAAAAAAATCATTTTGAATATAACAATTCCACGTTTGCCATATTATGCATCATTAAAATAGTGTGCTTTGAAATGAAAGTGAAGTGATTGATTTGCACAAAATGTTGGTAATTTAAACATAGAAACATAGAATGTGACGGCAGATAAGAACCATTCGGCCCATCTAGTCTGCCCAATTTTCTAAATACTTTCATTAGTCCCTGGCCTTATCTTATAGTTAGGATAGCCTTATGCCTATCCCATGCATGCTTAAACTCCTTTACTGTGTTAACCTCTACCACTTCAGCTGGAAGGCTATTCCATGCATCCACTACCCTCTCAGTAAAGTAATACTTCCTGATATTATTTTTAAACCTTTGTCCCTCTAATTTAAGACTATGTCCTCTTGTTGTGGTAGTTTTTCTTCTTTTAAATATAGTCTCCTCCTTTACTGTGTTGATTCCCTTTATATATTTAAATGTTTCTATCATATCCCCCCTGTCTCGTCTTTCCTCCAAGCTATACATGTTAAGATCCTTTAACCTTTCCTGGTAAGTTTTATCCCGCAATCCATGAACCAGTTTAGTAGCCCTTCTCTGAACCCTCTCTAAGGTATCAATATCCTTCTGAAGATACGGTCTCCAGTACTGTGTACAATACTCCAAGTGAGGTCTCACCAGTGTTCTGTACAATGGCATGAGCACTTCCCTCTTTCTACTGCTAATACCTCTCCCTATACAACCAAGCATTCTGCTAGCATTTCCTGCTGCTCTATTACATTGTCTGCCTACCTTTAAGTCATCAGAAATAATCACCCCTAAATCCCTTTCCTCATATGTTGAGGTTAGGACTCTATCAAATATTCTGTACTCTGCCCTTGGGTTTTTACGTCCAAGATGCATTATCTTGCACTTATCCACATTAAATGTCAGTCGCCACAATTCTGACCATTTTTCCAGTTTACCTAAATCATTTGCCATTTGGCTTATCCCTCCTGGAACATCAACCCTGTTACATATCTTAGTATCATCAGCAAAAAGACATACCTTACCATCAAGACCTTCTGCAATATCACTAATAAAAATATTAAAGAGAATGGGTCCAAGTACAGATCCCTGAGGTACCCCACTGGTGACAAGTCCAAGCTTCGAATATATTCCATTAACTACAACCCTCTGTTGCCTGTCACTCAGCCACTGCCTTACCCATTCAACAATATTGGAATCCAAACTTAAAGATTGCAGTTTATTGATAAGCCTTCTAACAATACAGATCGATATTTTATAACATAATAAATAAAATGCCATGTAGGAAGCAATGGTATTTTGTGTAAAAATGTTCTTTAAAAAGTTTGATTATTTTTTTTTTTTTTTTTATATGTTTAATAGGGACACTATACCAAAACAACTAGCTTAATGGAGTGGCTTTGATGTACACACCATGCCCATGCAGTCTCACCGCTCAGTTCTCTGCCATTTAGGAGTTAAATCACTTTGTTTATACCGCTTTAGTCACACCTCATGTGACTTACACAGCCTTCCTAAACACTTCATGTAAAGTCATCTAAAGTTTACACTTCCTTTATTGCACAGTCTGTTTAATTTAGAATTCCTTGAATCTCCAGCTCTGTTAATAACAACTTATAAAACAACATAAAAACTTATAAAGCAAATTAACGTCTGAGGAGATGTTGCATTGTCAGATTCAAAAGCGATTTAATTCCTAAATGCAAATAATTGAGCTGTGAAACTGCAGGAGCTATACACCAAATCTGCTTCATTAAACTAAAGTTGTTTTGATGCTTATAGTTTCCATTTTACCTAATATTTAATACGTAACACAAATATAAAATTTACATATTTTATAAATGTTCTTTGCAGTCTTCTAAAAGAGAGCGTTTCTTTATTTTGCTTTTAATCTATATTATATTGAGTTAATATATATCAGTACTCTTAATTTAAAAAAAACAAACTGAAAGTCAGATGTAGGCCCTAGGAAAAAAAATTAAATAAATCTATACGTTATTTTTAAAAAGCTGACCTTTTTTATGCTTTAACTATAAATAACTATGTATATATAGTCCATTATCTACCTTTATTTGTTCCTGTGTTTGTTTATATTTCTCCTCTGTGGCGTATTTTAATTCACGGGCGAACATTTTTTTGCATTTTGATTAACAATGTGAATACTAATTAGTCATATTAAGGAATTACTAAATGTGATGTTAATTTTAGTCATAACATAGTCATGTGTTCCGAAGTGTGGATACTTGTAGCAAGCAGACAGACGTAGGAATTAAATGCGTAAATACACACAGACATCTTCATGATTGTTATGGTGACATATGTGCTGCATCTAATGTGTACATATGAAATGTAAAATAGCATTTTATATAAATTGCCCTGGAGCAACGCTTTCTATTGGATTCTTGGTAAGGTCTTTGCACAGGGTTTGGCAGGTTTGTCTAACGTTTGAACCTTGTTAGTGGGGGCCTGCCTGTCCCTGTGCCAAATAATACATAAGGAGATAGGAGCTCTGAGATCTGGAGACATGTTCACAGCGGCCAGAATTATGTCAGGAATTTGTATCTCTCTTTACCCCAGGTAGAGAAGCTTCGTGAGTACAAATAGCTGTGAGCTGTGCGGTAGGAAGCCTCTCCCAGGACAGACATGCATCGTACAGCCTTTCCAGTTATAAGACATATTCTGCTGCCATTCCTCGAAACCGAACGCAAAGCCGCGGCTTCCAGTTTCTGTCAGAGCAGAAATACAATTCCTACAGCTTACCATTATGCAGCAGTGCTTTCTATTTTATTAGCTTTGCTATGCTGTTCTGCAGTATCTTTAATGCCAGCTGTACCATGTTTCAATGTTTCTAATGGCAGCTAAACTGTCTTGCAGCCTCTATAATGGGAGACGTGCCATCCTGCAGCCTCCATACTACTGCTGAAACATGCTGCATGCATTTAGAGGAGTTTAGTTTCTATTACAGCCTCTCTAAGGGCAACTTCCCACCCTGCAGCCTGGCTAATGGCAGCTGTGCTATATTGCCGCTTACCTAATGTTATTTTTGACAGCTGTGCCATATTGCTGCTTCCCCAATAATATCTGTGACATCCTGTAGCCCCCCATCAGCAGATAAAATCTGCTGCAAGCATGTAAAGGGCATCTGTGCCGTCTTGTAGTCTCTGTGATAAGTGTGCCATTTTGCTGCCTCTAATCGCAACTGTGCCATCCTGCAGCCTCTGTTCGCAACTGTGCCATACTGCAGGCACTGACTGCAACTGTGCCATACTGCAGGCACTGACTGCAACTGTGCCATCCTGCAGCTTCTGAAGGCAACTGTGCCATCCAGCAGGCTCTGACTGCAACTGTGCCATCCAGCAGGCTCTGACTGCAACTGTACCATCCAGCAGGCTCTGACTGCAGCTGTACCATCCAGCAGTCTCTGACTGCAACTGTACCATCCAGCAGGCTCTGACTGCAACTGTGCCATCCTGTAGGCTCTGACTGCAACTGTGCCATCCTGCAGCTTCTGAAGGCAACTGTGCCATCCTGCAGCCTCTGATGGCAGCTGTGCCATCCTGCATCCCCTCTGACAGCATAAAGCAGTCCCTTGCACAACCAGTGCATGCATCCAGCAGCCCCCTACTTCACAGGCACTTAGATTTAGCAGGCTTCCTGCAAAACAGGTGCAGAGCTTTGCACAGGAGACCGCCTTGGGACTCCCACATCTGGTAGGATCCTACAGGAAAAATGCACGCATGCTGTTGTTTTATTGGGCACCACTTGCTCCATATGTCTATGTTGATGCTTTCTATGTGACTTTACTGCTGGATCCACTTACACCATTGACGTAGACCCAGCAGTATTGCAACCGGCATGTAACCAAATACATTCGCATTGGTTTTGCAGAGATATTGGCTTTCTGTAATGGAGTATTCTGGGACAATGACCCCATTTATTCTGCACTCTGTGGAGAGGTGCAGAGAGGTGCCAAGCATGCGACTCCATATTGCTTATATGCGAGAACCATATACTTAGTAGCCTTTAAAATACAGGACAGATTCTCATGTTCTGTAAAACCTGAAGCAGATAAAGTAAAAATTTCACGTTCCCACAACCTCTTAGGAAAAGAACCACTTCACATAATTTTAGCTCCTGTCAACACAAGCCGAGCGCTGCCTTGTCTCATCTTCTCTCAATACAGATCTGACTGCAACCTCTCTTAGACAGACTTAGCATAGACTACAACACAGCCTGACGTTCCCACAGCCACTCCGTTCTAGGTCAGGCTGAACCACACATCATCGCAGTCCATCCCAAGACAGGTAAAACACTGCCCTAGAGCCCTCCGGTGTTTCTGGAAAATATTTAGCATTCTTGCATCTTGTCTGCGGATATAATTCAGTGTCTCAAAAAATAAGACAGTTCTTGCTACAATACGAACAGCTTCGATGTAAGAAGGCTCGAGGTGCTTCACAGAGTTTTGCTGTCTATCCACAAGACCAGTGCTATGTGACGTTGGACTAGCACTACTTCACGACCCAGTCACTGTCTGTACCTGGATTAACACTGCTTCACGGACCTGCAGTAGCCCACAACTGACCTAGTACTGCTTAATATTCCAGCAACTGCCTGTACTTTGCCTAGCACCACTTTATAGCGAAGAAACACCTGGACTAGCTCTGCTTCATACTAGCAACTGCTGAATTGAACAAGCACTAATGGGCTGCCTTGCAATTGACCACCACTGGACTAGCACTGCTTCATAGCCTGGCCACTGTTCAACCTAGACTATCATTACTTATTAGTCCAGCATCTGCTCACATCTGAACCTGCACTGCGTCACGGCTCAGCTACTACCCACAACTAGACTAACACTGCTTCACTACCCACTAACATAATAACACTACTTCACATCCCAGCAGTCCTAAAACTGCCCGAAATTGGACAAGTTCTGCTTCACAGCCCAGTGACCATTCAGAACTGGAATAGTACAATGCCTCGAGCATCTGTTCACAACCAGACCAGCTTCACCCTGACAAAACAGCATCACACCTAAGCAACTGCCTGCAATTGGACCTGCACACTTTACAGCCCAGCAACTACCGTATCTTGATGAGCCCAGTCTCACAGCCCAACAACTACCTATAACTGGACAGGCACTGCTCAGCATCTGCCTACAACTTCGCCTGCACAATCTCATAGCGCAGCAACATACAGCAACTCAACCAGCTGTGTTTCGAAGCTCAGCAACTGCCCAAAACTGAACCAGCACTGCTGCACATCCCAGCAACTACTGGACAGGTGTTACCTCCTCGTACTGCAACGCTTTTAGCAAGACATGAGCTTTCTTATAGACATTCAGCAGTTCTCAATTAATCTCTTATTAGTATTCCTTCTGCACTTCAGATGTTAATATGAAGATTACTCCTTTCAGGCAACATCAGGTACATCATCGCTGCATTGCTTCACTGCAGTCTTCAGTAATAGTCCTTCACTGTATACCTCCTACAAGAGCACAGTTACTGCATGATTTAATTGCAGGATTTGCCAGGGAGTAGATCTTGTCACTGCAGTATATCAGGTGTTAGTACAAGCACTACATCACATCACTGCTCACCTGTTCCAGAATAGGGGTCACTTTACATTAGCCTCTCCCAAGATAGGACAAGCTTCACAACCCTTAAAATGCCCCTCTGCCAGCTTAGTAAAGGGAGTGCATCAGGTCACTGTATCCTTGTACAGAATGGTACAATTACTGCATCACTGATCTCAGGACTGGATACTGCATCATCTCTGCCTGAAGATAGGACAATCCAAGATCACATCATGCAGTCCCTCTCTTAAAATAGGATAGTCACAAATTCACTACGCTGCACCCTCTCTCTCTTTTTGATGATCAGGCAGTCACTACATCAATCACTGCATCCTCTTTCAGGAAAGGAATCACTGCAGCAATTAGCTGTGTGATGGAATCCCCCTCTGTATTATCCATTCTCAGTCTAAACATTTTTAAGAGTAACCATTTTTAAAAGAATTATTTCAAATCTGCCACTTCCTTATCATTTCCTCCTCCCATAACAAACATAATCACACTCCATTCCTTATCCTCAAAATCCTTCTGGACATGCACACACATTGCTTCTCCCAAGCAACACTTCCGTCTGTGTAGTGCTCTGTATAGTGCAAGGCTGTCTCTCCTGGCTCACTCCAGTACTCCCTCTCTCCGATACCTGCTCTGTATAGTGCAAGGCTGTCTCTCCTGGCTCACCCCACTACTGCCTCTATCTCCGATACCTGCTCTGTAAAGTGCAAGGCTGTCTCTCCTGGCTCACTCCAGTACTCCTTCTCTCTCAGATCCCTGCTCTGTATAGTGCAAGGCTGACTCTCCTGGCTCACTCCAGTACTCCTCCTTCTCTCAGATCCCTGCTCTGTAAAGTGCAAGGCTGACTCTCCTGGCTCACTCCAGTACTCCTTCTCTCTCAGATCCCTGCTCTGTATAGTGCAAGGCAGACTCTCCTGGCTCACTCCAGTACTCCCTCTCTCAGATCCCTGCTCTGTAAAGTGCAAGGCTGACTCTCCTGGCTCACTCCAGTACTCCCTATCTCTGTTCCCTGCTCTGTATAGTGCAAGGCTGACTCTCCTGGCTCACTCCAGTACTCCTCTCTCAGATCCCTGCTCTGTAAAGTGCAAGGCTGACTCTCCTGGCTCACTCCAGTACTCCCTATCTCTGTTCCCTGCTCTGTATAGTGCAGTGCTGTCTCTCCTGGCTCACTCCAGTACTCCCTCTCTTTTAGTTCCCTGCTCTGTATAGTGCAAGGATGTCTCTCCTGGCTCACTCCAGTACTCCCTCTCTCTAAATTCCCTGCTCTGTGTATAGTGCAAGGCTGTCCCTCCAGTACCCCCTTCCCCCCATTTCTTGCTCTGTATAGTGGAAGTTTCCCTGATCCCCTGTTCCTCTCCCCAGTACCCTCTGCCACCCCTTCTCTATCACTGTAAAGTGCCACACACATGCTGTCTCTGTTTTGATAGTGCAAGACTTCAAATCCCTTCTCTCACACCCCATCTTCTCTGCCTCTACCATGCACACACACACACACTGCTTGGGATATCACAGGGCTCCCTCTCCCTGCTCCAGCGGCTCCCTGTCTCACACGTTCTCTGCCTTGAATAGTGCAAGCTCCAAATCCTTATTTACCCTGCTCTGTATAATGCAAGGCTCCCCGATCACTTACACACTGTCCCTGCTCTGTATAGTGCAAGGCTCCCTGATCACACACTGTCCCTGCTCTGTATAGTGCAAGGCTCCCTGATCACTTACACATTGTCCCTGCTCTGTATAGTGCAAGGCTCTCTGATCACACACTGTCCCTGCTCTGTATAGTGCAAGGCTCCCCGATCACTTACACACTGTCCCTGCTCTGTATAGTGCAAGGCTCCCTGATCACACACCGTCCCTGCTCTGTATAGTGCAAGGCTCCCTGATCACTTACACATTGTCCCTGCTCTGTATAGTGCAAGGCTCTCTGATCACACACTGTCCCTGCTCTGTATAGTGCAAGGCTCCCTGATCACTTACACATTGTCCCTGCTCTGTATAGTGCAAGGCTCCCTGATCACTTACATATTGTCCCTACTCTCTATAGTGCAAGGCTCCCTGATAACTTACACACTGCCCCTGCTCTCTATAGTGCAAGGCTCCCTGCTCACACACTGTCCATACTCTGTATAGTGCAAGGCTCCCTGATCACACATTATCCATACTCTGTATAGTACAATGCTCCATGCTCACACACTGTTCATACTCTGTATAGTACAAGGCTCCCTGCTCACACATTGTTCATACTCTGTATAGTGCAAGGCTCCCTGCTCACACACTGTCCATACTCTGTATAGTGCAAGGCTCCCTGATCACACATTCTCCATACTCTGTATAGTACAATGCTCCATGCTCACACACTGTTCATACTCTGTATAGTACAAGGCTCCCTGCTCACACATTGTTCATACTCTGTATAGTGCAAGGCTCCCTGCTCACACACTGTCCATACTCTGTATAGTGCAAGGCTCCCTGATCACACATTCTCCATACTCTGTATAGTACAATGCTCCATGCTCACACACTGTTCATGCTCTGTATAGTACAAGGCTCCATGCTCACACACTGTTCATACTCTGTATAGTACAAGGCTCCCTGCTCACACACTGTCCATACACTGTATAGTGCAAGGCTCCCTGCTCACACACTGTCCATACTCTGTATAGTGCAAGGCTCCCTGATCACACATTCTCCATACTCTGTATAGTGCAAGGCTCCCTGCTCACACACTGTCCATACACTGTATAGTGCAAGGCTTCCTGCTCACACACTGTCCATACACTGAATAGTGCAAGGCTCCAAACCCCTGCTCTCCCTAAAATCCTTTACATTTACTTTCCTTACTCTGTAATTATAGACTCCCTCATTCACACACACTTTCCCTGCTCAGTATAGTTCTAGACTCCCCTCTCCCTGTCTTTCCCCAGCAACTTTCTCTGCTTTGGATAGACCCAGGCTCCCTGTCCCCAGCACCCCTCTCTTTCACTCACTCTCTCTGCTTTGGATAGACCCAGGCTCCCTCTCCCCAGCACCCCTCTCTTTCACTCACTCTCTCTGCTTTGGATAGACCCAGGCTCCCTCTCCCCAGCACCCCTCTCTTTCACTCACTCTCTCTGCTATGGATATACACAGGCTCCCTGTCCCCAGCACCCCTCTCTTTCACTCACTCTCTCTGCTTTGGATAGACCCAGGCTCCCTCTCCCCAGCACCCCTCTCTTTCACTCACTCTCTCTGCTTTGGATAGACCCAGGCTCCCTCTCCCCAGCACCCCTCTCTTTCACTCACTCTCTCTGCTTTGGATAGACCCAGGCTCCCTCTCCCCAGCACCCCTCTCTTTCACTCACTCTCTCTGCTATGGATAGACCACAGGCTCCCTGTCCCCAGCACCCCTCTCTTTCACTCACTCTCTGCTTTGGATGGGGCTCCCCTCTCCCCAGCACCCCTCTCTTTCACTCACTCTCTCTGCTTTGGATAGACCCAGGCTCCCTCTCCCCAGCACCCCTCTCTTTCACTCACTCTCTCTGCTTTGGATAGACCCAGGCTCCCTCTCCCCAGCACCCCTCTCTTTCACTCACTTTCTCTGCTTTGGATATACACAGGCTCCCTCTCCCCAGCACCCCTCTCTTTCACTCACTCTCTCTGCTTTGGATAGACCCAGGCTCCCTCTCCCCAGCACCCCTCTCTTTCACTCACTCTCTCTGCTTCCCAGGCTCCCTGTCCCCAGCACCCCTCTCTTTCACTCACTCTCTCTGCTTTGGATAGACCCAGGCTCCCTGTCCCCAGCACCCCTCTCTTTCACTCACTCTCTCTGCTTTGGATAGACCCAGGCTCCCTCTCCCCAGCACCTTTCTCTTTTACTCACTTTGTCTGCATTGGATAGACCCAGGCTCCCTCTCCCCAGCACCTCTCTCTCATCCCCACAATATCTCTGGATATTGCACAAACTATCTCACACTTTTACTTTCCCTGGTTTGGATATTGCAAAGCCCCCTCTCCCTGCTCCACTCCCTGCCTTTTCGCTTCTCACCCCTGCCTCCCATTCCACCTCTTCTCCCCTCCTATTCTGCATGTGAATCAGCTGCCTGCAGCCTCTCCTGCCCACTAATCTTCTACCAGTGGGTGTCGTTGTAATTCCCCCTTATACAGTGTCACTCTTTGAGATGACCTCAAGTCAGGCAGAGTTTGAAAGCGTCGATCACTTTCAATAGTAAGGCAGACACCAGCTCCTCATCTACAGAGAAGGATGTGAAGACATGCACTGCAGATTGCTAGACTACTTGCCTGTATCATCACTGACAATCCAGTCACTTATTTTCCATTGAGCAACCAACAAAACCTTTTATTTGCCCAATTACACTTTTTTTATTTTATTTTTATTTTTATTTTTGCATTTCAATTCTAAAGGTAGTGCATTTTTCTATAATTACTTTTAACTGCAGAATGATTGCTCTAGGTGAGAATTTTCAATCCTGAAGAAATTCGCAATTTATAAAAAAACAAAACAACCTTTTGTATTTAAACTTTAGGATCAGACCTATGTGTATTTATTTTTCTTTAATGTTGTCATTTTTTTCCCTCTTTGAATTTTTCATAGTTTATTTATTTGCCGATAAAGTCTTTTTTTGTATCTGCTTTGTAAGATGCCCTTGAATTTGTAACTTAACGTTTTTCAAAATTATTTTTTGGAACATTTTCTGCTGTACTGATGATGTCATGTTTATTTAATACTGTTGCTAGTCTATTTTACC